GTGTAATTTTGTAGACTCTTGAGAATTTTAGAGTAATCTTTGTGTGAATATTTATAAGCTAAAGAATACCAGGTAACTCTGAAAATTCTTTCATGTACATGTGAATTGCGTATGATTATATCATGGATTTACTATTTTTTTATATCATATTATGATTTTTCAAATAAATATTTTGATACTTCACTTGATTTGTTGTTAAGATTTATTGCTATTAATTATAATTTCTATTTAAATATATTGATAGCTATGGAATTATTATGAGTTGCTATTAAATGGTATAGAAATTTTATTGCTATCTTATTTTTTATAACATATTTGAGGACGTGTTATGATGTAACATTATTTACATATGACATATGCATTGTTTGGTAAGAATAGAAGCAGATTTGTATGGATATAAATTACCACGTGGTATGCCATCACTCGATACACAGTGGATGGCAGTTGCCAAAGCCCCTTCTTCCATGTTTTCCTTTGGCCGGAATTTATTGGAGCTGTGAGACATGTGACACCTCCTTATTTTATTGCAAAGGAAGGGAGCCATAGTCTAAACTTGAGCTCTATATCTTTGGCCGGATATACCTCCAATATTGGTGAGCTTGGAATAATTCAATAAAATGGATTAGTTTCTATTGGACTATGTGTTAGCCTATGACTCCAGTTAGTGGTATAAGGGGGACAGTGATACAAGGGAGGTTGCATATTGCATTATTTTTGGATATATTAGAAAAATGATATTGGTGTATTATTGAATCAAAAATGAAATTGAGTTGAATGTATAAATCCATGATTTTCATATATAAATATATATACATATAAACAATTTTGTTTTATCATATATAGTTACTTGTATATATTAGAATTTCAATAGTTACTGAGACGTTTGATCTCATCCCCTATAGTAACATTTTTTTTAGGTGAAGGATCTAGTAGAATCAAGAAAAAGGCATCGATAGAGTGAGCTATGACGATTTCTGTGCTCCTTAACACATGCTATGTTATATTAAACACATGCTTCAGTAGTTACTTCGACCATTTATTTTGTTATGTTCGAAAATGCTTTGAAATTATGACTTGTTTGAAGTGTTGGATATACGTATGGATTTTTAAATGAAGTATTTTATCGTGTAGTATGTAGATTAATTATGTGAGGTGTTACAATTTGAAGAGATATTCACTGTATGGTTCCAAAGGAATTTAATTATCAAAAAATGTCATAACGAGTGAATCATAATTTCCAGCGCAAGAAATGACAATAAGATTCAGATCAGACCTCAGTTATTTTTCATAATTTGAATCCACGCATGCCAGAAGATAGCCATTTTAGATGACCTAGAGTTTCATCAACTACGCGTGGAGTTGCATAGTGCAAATTAATGGAATCAGAATGTGACATTCCCATTACTAAATGCATGGAGGATCCATCTAAATCAAGCAAGCTGGAATGATCGTCCATAAGTTGACTTGCGTGAACTTGGCACTAATGAGGAACCGAAAGGAGCATACAAACAGCGACGAGGACAAGTTTGTCCTGCTCCCCGGCGTTTTACCCACTTTCCCATGACAAAATTTCCATAGCCTCTTCTATAATTGCAATCCCAACATGCACTTCTTTGTCTTTTTATTCTTTTTGGTTCATTCTATTGGACATTTCTGGAGATTAATTAGATGTGAGCCCCTGAATTGCACAAAATCCAAAATAAGGATACTGATCCCAATGGTCTTGCAGCCTTGTTAGTAGAATATCATGAGTTCAATCTCGCTTATAAGCTGTTAGTGATTGTTCCTCTAATTCAAACAAAATAATAACATCAATGCAAACTTAAGCATGCGATCTTTACATTGAGCAACATTAGATGTTATGGCGTTTCTTAAATTGGTTGTTTTCTGATTTCAATACCAAGCTTTTGTGGAGAGTGTTCTTGTTTTAGGTAAACTTTTTCTTGAAAGAAAGACAATTATATTATTAACTAAATAAAACGATACATAAAAAAAGTTCCAACAACTAACCTACCAAAATAAGCAATTGTGAAGCTCAAGCACAGATATCAAGAAACAAAAAACAACGAAAATAAAAGGCTTAGCAAACAAACTACAAGAAAAACACAAAAACAAATGTATCAAAACTAAGTTTCAAAGATGTGAAGGAGGGTTAACATAAGATATTTTATATCTTAATATAATTATAATGATTTTACACTTGTTCATGGTGGCTTCACAAACCAATCTCCATGAGTCTGCTTCACAGCGCGCCATTACAGAAAAAGGAAAAGAAGCAGGAATGATTAGTTTTTGAATTTTCATGTCAACAGTCTATGAATGCCAAATTGTCGTTTTTGCCTTCCCATCAATGTGAACGCAAATATCGGAGTTAGTGGCTTTGATCAGAAATTAAAGCTAAAAACGATTGTTATATATTCTTGGACCGCCCAAACCCAAAATATCAAAATAGTAACAAAGGAAAATTCAAGGGTTTGGTTTCTTTTGCCTTTCCATATTTTGAAAGAAAAAAGTGGCAATACATGCGTGCAATCTTTATCATTGATTTGACAAATTTAAAACTTATGCCACGAGCGGGAAAAGAAACATATCATTGTTAAAGTCGAAACAGAAAGCAACAACTTAGATACCCAAGATATATAGGCAATGATTGATGATGGTGATGATGATATAGGAACTTGCATTCACTTTAAAAACGAAGTTGTATTATTATTGATCATTACATTAAAAAATACAGATAGAAGCCAAATTATGATTTTAAAAGTAATTTTACAATATATGAAATAAGTATGTGAGAGAGTTTGTATCAATTGTACTCCTCAGTCCTTAATATATGACAAATTCTTGATTTTGTCCTAATATAAGACCCATTTCTCATATTTATCAATTTTCTCTAAATTACCCTAAGATACTCTCTCAACATAACCAAATAGAAGAGAGAGAGGGTATTAAGAAAGATGATGGTGTTTTAGGAAAAATGTGTCACTTTTCTTATAATTAACTAACTTACCTAACTTTCTTAATATAATCAAATTAGTTAAATAGGTCTTATATTAAGGACCGGAGGAATATAAAAGAACTTTTAAAAAGTACTTTTATTATAAACCAAACAACCCCTAAGTGTAATGAACATTTCAAATTTTATAGCACGTTGTTGTGTGCTTGTGCCAGTCTTAATACTGCGATTTGTCAATGTCTACTGTTTAATTGACTATTAATGAAATTTAAAAAATTTTAGATGAATATTACAGGGAGAATGACAAAAAAAAACTGAAAATTATTAAATCTCAATTCAGGTTTGTTAACAACAATTTTTTTGGTATTGACAATATTAAATTTATAAATGATAAAAAAAATTTATTAATATTTCTTATTTAGCATTTATAATGTTTTAGCTTTTTTTTTGGGGGTCATTTTTCCAATATTAAAACCCGAGACCATACTGGCTCCTGAAATAGGAACTTTTTCCCTCTATTAGGATTCGATATTAAGATCTCATATACATAAAGATGATTATTACAGAACTGTGCTTTTTCACTAAACCCTGAACTTAAAAAGCATAGGTTAACGTTCTACCTAACGACCCCTGATCTTTTGCGAAATCCCACAAACTAATAATAATCATATGCGAGTAAAACGCATAAAGGTAAATAAAGCATACTAAATCAGCTGCTAATTAAAGCAAGCCTTTATTTTAGTTTCTGTTTTTTGTTTTTTAACTTTCACCCTTTTAGCTTTTGGTGAGACGCAAGCAAGATATTCCATCAATTACCCAAGATTTTGATTGAGCAAACAATGACTTGTTGGTCCCATTAATAGTGGTTTGGAGGGAGCTTTACTGCATTAACATCTTTTTAACGAGAATTGAGGAGGGAGGAATGAGTTCTGAAATGTTCCAAAACAAAAGTAAAATCACTAAGCACTTTTCTGAAATTACTTTTTTGGTGACGCAATCAGCAGTGAATTTTTAAAAAAGAAAGTTAAAGTTGTTTTGTCTGACTCAGTAATGACGTGAAAGAAACCTGGCGACAATGGCAGCCCCAAGAAAGAACAAATTCCCGCACTAATACTTGACTTCCTTACACTAACTTGTCCATGTACGCATTTTTCCCATGCAAAACAAAATTATATTTGTTAGGAAATATTTAAATATTGATCCCATGGCAAGTAGGTGACTCATATGGGTATAAGCAGGGGAAATTTTCTATAAGATTAAAAAAAAAAGGAATCTAATCACTAAAAAATCTAATAACAAGTGAACAGTATGAATTTACAATTATTTTTTATATTGAAAGTTTTCATTATGTGCTGCTTACTGTTTATAAGATTTTTTGGTGATTACATTACTTACTCAGGATCTTGTAGTATAATGGTTTATGAATAGTAAAAGCTTGACATTGTCACCTGACCTAGAAGCTCTTTATAGGCACCAAACTTTTGTTAACATCCTTGGTGTGAACTGGTTCATGTGGTGGGCCACTTAGTTTGGAATTTTGGGGTGCACAGTGCACACGAGGCAAGCAATCTCAAACTTTCGGTGTATCATGTATATGGTTTTTTGGACTGCTGATTCCCTTGCCAAATGATAACACTATATATATGATTAGGGCCTTTGATTTTACTCTTCATTCTCATTCTCTTCTTTTGTTAATTTCTAGAAACTATTTCAGTTTCTTGCTGAGCATAGCGTCCACCTTTAGGATTTCTGTCAAGTCTTTAGATTTGTTCTCATTCTTTTCTTTTAAGAGCCTTGCAGGGACTGAGTATTGAGGTAGCCTGACATCAGAGAGACCTTGAATTTCTGCAAGACCATGATTCTGACATGCAACGAGTCATACTTGACTCTTGACAAAAAACACAAAAAGCTTGTATTTTTGGATCTTTCACATTTTTATTACATATTCTCCGGCTACTTAGCAGCACTTCATATTGCATTCCTTTTCTCTTTCTCTTTCTGAAGTTTTGGGTGAGTTTTCCTTTCTTTGCCTTTGTTTTTTTGTGGGTTTTCACTTTTTTTTAGTGAGATAAAAGTAAGAACCAGAGAAATCTTGAATGGGAAGTGCACCATTACCACCAGGTTTTCGTTTCCACCCCACAGACGAAGAGCTGGTCGGATATTATCTAAAGAGAAAAGTAGAGGGGCTTGAAATAGAGCTTGAGGTTATCCCAGTCATTGATTTATACAAATTTGATCCATGGGAATTGCCAGGTATTCTTAAATTTCATATTTTCAACAATACTTGGATCTACATATGAGGCAATATAGCTTACTAGAATCAAACATATGATGCAGAGAAATCATTCCTACCAAAGAGAGATATGGAGTGGTTTTTCTTTTGTCCACGAGATCGAAAGTGGCCAAATGGATCGCGAACAAATAGAGCTACCAAAACTGGGTACTGGAAAGCTACTGGAAAAGACAGAAACATAGTGTGTCAATCAACTCCATTCACTGTTACAGGATGCAGAAAGACCCTTGTTTTTTATCGCGGAAGAGCTCCACTTGGAGATCGAACCGAGTGGGTCATGTATGAATATCGACTCAACAATGACTCTGATCTCTCATCACCTTGTTTTCAGGTAAATTTATTACTTGTGTGTGTGTGTGTGTGTGTTATATGGCTTTAATTTGGCTGAAAATTGAGATTGAAGTTGGTTGTTTTATGGAAATTTGTAGGGTGGTTTTGCATTGTGCAGAGTGATAAAGAAGAATGAGAAGGCCAGGAGTTCGCAAGAAGAACAAAAGGGTAAGGCTGCAGGAAGAAGTTGCAACAGTGGTAATGAAGAAGCTTCAATGAAGACTTCACACCATGTGGCTCCAACAATGGCAGAGCTTGAGCAAGCTTCTTCCTTGGAGTCCATAAACCCTTCACATTTTGATGTCTCTCCTGAATTAATTCTAGATTCTTCTATGGTACTAGGAATAAAGCAGGGAACTTCATATGCATTAGCTAAGTTTCAGACATATATGAGTTCTGACTTCACTTGTTTACTCCTCCAACTCTGCAGGACTATTGCTCTGAAGTACAAGATTCCATGTCTGGATACTTTCCACAGTACGACTTATCATGTTCAATGAATCCATGGCAACCATTCCTACCAAGAGAAAATTCAACCTCTTCATCTCACTCAAATGTAAATGGAGAAATTGAATTTGCTGAAGATATCAATCAATTTGGCTGCTCATATATAAACGAGCATGTGGCTCATGAGGGCTTTGATCAGATCAATTCATTCAGATATCCAAAACCGTTCTGAAAAGTTGCTATCTTTGCAGCCAAGACAATTTCAATGCCTTTGAAGTTCCAACCTCTGGGGGTCTAAGTTAGCTAAAGTTTCATGGTGTTTCCTTGGGAGGGGATCTCTCTCTGAGACAACGCCTTTTAAAGTACGTCTTGGAGTAAAAATTACGTGCATGTGCAATCCCTTCCTAAGGACTAGATGTATCACTCCTACTGTTATAGTGCCTGCTCTGGAAATAATCACTTTTGTCGGCTTCACCAGAAGCCGGTTTACATTCAGCCATCTATGTATCAATATCAATAAAATAAGCTAAATGGAGAATTCTATATGTGCTTGCCCTTCTACTCTGCCTACTGCTTATGGATTCATCATTACTGCATCTTGGTGCTTAAATTTCTAAAGCTCAAAGTTGAAAGCAAATTAACATGTACATTATGCATTTGAATAAACTGGACTCCTGATTCTGCTTGAAATCAGTTTTCTCTTTGATAAAAAGAGCTGTTCAACCAAAAAAAAAGAAGGAAAAAAAAAAGAAGAGAAGATAAGATGAAGTTTAATTTTCGAGTTGACAAGACATTACCCTGTGCAGTTGCTTTGATAAGCATCTAAAACTCATTATACCTACAAATTATTTAAGCCTAGCCTACATAAATTAGAAGCTTCAAGGAATTAGCACTTTGAACCGTACCATAATTGAGCAGAAAACGGTTTCAATGCAATCATCATGAAAGGCAAAATAGTAGCAGTATGACTATTTGTTACCCGTTATGCAGTTCTAGTACAAGCTAGCAATTTTGGGGCTGCAAAAAACTTCAACTTCTTCAAGGGTAGCCTTGGACTCGTCTCCAAAAAGAGACTCTTTGCCGTCTTCCCTCTTAGCATAAGACAATTCCAATCTAGACTTGGCTTGCCTTAAGTTACCAATGCCAGAGTTTGTATCGGGTCCTGCAAAACCACCCATAACTGGGGCTAGGGGGCCCAATGAGAAGCCCATCCGCCCCAAATTGTGGGCCCCCACGAGCATAATCGAAAAGAGCCGCACCACTGCCACCAACCTTGGGCAAAACAATGGGTTGGGTTTGAGCACCAGTTTCAGGCCAATAGAACAAGAAAGCATCAAAAGTATCGTAGTAATCGTCAGTGCTTCTGTAGCCTTCAGGGTTAAAAGCCTCAAACTTGAAAGAATTGTCTGCGTAGCCGATGATCACACATGGCCCCTTGAAGTCGCAGCATTCGTGAAATTTCGTCGCGCTAAACCCATCGATTGTGGCCCTATAGCAGCATTTGAGTTCCTTACCTGATAAAATTCACAGAATTTTGAAGGTCAGGACCTGCAAGTATGAAACTTGCAAAGAGAGAGAAGAACAAATAGAGAGAGAGAGAGAGGACCCTTCAAGAAAGTTTTATTGAGAAGTGAGGGTGGGAAGGTGAGATCCATATCATGATACTTAGTCTGTGGTTTGTCGTCAGCTTTGTTCTTGCCAATTTTCCAACCGAATAAGCTATAAGGGGTGCTTCTCTTCCAGCCCTGTAATAATACAGGGTTTGAGATACAAGAAGCCATTTGCACACATAACCACCAACGCTTACTTCCTGGAACGTCTTCTTATCCTTATTTTCACCCACAAAAAAATCTTTTTGAATGAAAGTATGAATCAGTTGGGAGCTGATCTAGAGGTTAGCAGTTCGAACCTGGATGAGACTTTTTTCTGTTTCTTTTTTTTTTTCCATTTAAGGTATTAAAGATTTTCTCAAAGATTCTTTTCCTCCCTTTTTTTGACCTTCAAAGAAAAATTTAAGATTGAAGTCCAGGTAATAAAAAAGGAGAGAGAATAAAGGTAACACAAAAAATGGTTTTTTTTACCGAAATACGATAAATAGTAAAACTTTTTACCAAAATACTGTATTTTTAAAACTATTTACCAATATGCCATACTTAAAATCGTTCTTGGCAAGAATGATTTTCAAATTACACACAAGTCGTTCTTGGCGTGAACGATTTCACTTTTTCCTATTCACCCCATGCGTCTGAATTACTGCCAATTATGCGTGCAAAACCATGCATCTGAATTTCTGCCAATTATACATGCAAAACCAACCAATTATGCGTTTGAATTTCTGCCAATTATGCGTGCAAGACCAACCAATTATGCATGTTCTATAAACATCTTTGACATAGCATGTGAGAATCCCATGAGGCTACAGCTATGGCTTTATATATATATTATATGTGAATTCCTTTTCTTCACGCGTTACGCTTCATTGCTCTTCACTTCTTCTTCTTCTTCTTCGCCGAGTTCTCTTTTCTTCTTCTTCTCACTTGTTGTTTCATTTTCATTATCCTTCTGTACTATTATTTTTTCACTCTTATTTCTAAACAAGACAAGCTCTTTTACTGTTGCTGTAGGTATATTGTTTCTCTTCTATTTTTTCTTTTAAAAAATTTACAGTTGTGATATACAATTTGATTTTTCATCCATACTATCCTTGATGAGTTAATATTTCATTGTTCTAATTTTTAGGAAGTGAGTGGTGGGTTCAACAATCTGGAATATTTGTACTCTTTCTAAGCTAGGTGTCTCTTATTTTAACGGTAAAACTATCATCTGTTATATTGTTTTAAGATGTTAATATTTTGATATAAGCTTCATTTTTTCTTGGTATATGATTATTATTTTTTCTTATGAAAGTATACTTCTCAAGAAGTTTAAATTTGGTAATATAAAATTGAAAAATAATTATATATACGCCCTAAACATCAAATATGTGGTATATATTAAGTTGGTAAATTAATAAAAAAAAAAAGTCTTCTACCTACTTCTAATGAACTATTGCTTTCATATATTTTTTAGGTAAAAATAAAGTGTAAGTAAAATTGAAATGAATGAAGAGCACTCATAATTTCCTTTTTTCATTTTGCCTTTTCCATGCTATTTGTTATGTTGTATTTTTTAATTGATGATGACATGTCATGATATGAGTGTTTTGAATCAAGAATAAAATACTCTGACTATTTTTCTAGTTTGCATCAATGACATAGAACTTTCCTCTATTTTAAAAGCATACATTTAATCTAATTAGTTAACACTGTTAATAGGAGTATTCTAAAAAGATTCTAAAAATATTATTTTTAACTGACATTTATATTAAAATAAAATTTATTTACTATTTTACTTCTGATTCTAATAAAGTCTTAAATTATATTTTTATAGTTACATTAATTTTAATCAGTTAAGGCAAACATAAAAGATTTGATTAAAATTTTAACTAATTTTTATAATAAATATATATATTTAACTAAGTAAGTTTATAAATCTTTGTAATAAAGAAGTGTTTAAAAGTTTTGAATTATTATTAAAAAAAAAAAAAGTTTTGAATTATAAATTGAAATAACTTATAAAATCGTTTAAACTTATATCATTTAAATTCTATGATAAATAAAAACTAGGAATTTGAAATATATTTTTACAATTTAAAAGAAATCAAAGTAAATAATTTTTAATGAATGTGATAAACTAGAGAAAAAATCTTTATTTTTTAACCCTTCATTTCAACCCAATGGTCTAAAAGATTTTAGTCCAATTAAATGTTTAATTTCGTGCAATAAATTAATATTTATTAAATTAAATTTTACAAAAATAATGAAATAATAAATAGGTATTATAAGGTATAAATAATATATATGTGTAAAATAAAAAAAATCTTCATGATATGTTATTATTAAAATAATATTACAAGAAAGAATTTTAATATTAAAAAAATATATGTTTAATATTTTATATAGTGCAATAATATTATTAATTAATACTTGATGTAAATAAAATTATAGAAATAGAAAAAGAAACAAAAGGAAAAAAATCTCTATTTCTTAAACTTATTTATTTATTTTAATTGCAAATAAATAATTTACAAAAAATGATTAAAAAGTTCTGAAAATTACTAAATTTGTAATCAAGTTTGTTTACTATACTTTAACAGATTTTGACAATAATAGCAATAACACATATTTTATAGTAGTTTCTAATTTGGAATTATGCAATTTTCATGATTAGGAAGTAGAATAGATCATAGAAAGGAGTTCGTGTGTGTATTCGCAAATGGACGAATTTTTAATGACCCAGCTGGTATAACATTTGAATCTGATAATGTGAAAATTATCAAAGTTGATGAAAACATTACCTTGGGCAAATTGAAGTAAGTTATTGGATGAAAGTTACGACTTCCTCCCTATCAAAACATGACAAATTTAGTATATAGGTATCCTACATGCATAAATCCACCACAATACCAAGCATGCAATTTAAAAAATGATACAGATATAAAACAAATGTGGGAAGTGACTAGAAGATTTTTAACTCAATTAACATATGCAGAGTTGTATGCTAACATATGTGATTTACCAAATAATGGCCATGTTGAGTCATAACCCATAGGTGATTATGTCAAAAATACGCCCCCATCAAGTAGCAATAGGGTGAACATAATGGAACAAGAATCTATGTTTAGTGATCACATGGAAAGTTTCCAACCATTTGAACTCCCCATAGATGGTGGGAACATTATATCATCATGTTCTCTTCCTCATGTAGAAGATATCGTGGATGAATCAGAGGATGAGGAAGAATATGATTCTTATTTAAATGCTGGTAATGGGGATTATAATGGTGACAATGACAATGAATATGACAAGATGAATGAGCAAAATCAGATTGCAAATGCTTACTTGTCACAAATTCATGTTGAGTCTGTTACAACTCCTGAATTTGGTGAATTAGAAGATATTATGCATGTTAGTGATAATGAAGAGTTAAATGTTGGGAAAATATTTAGCAATGTCCAAGTTTTAAGACATGCAGTCAAGCTATATTCTGTTCGTGTTCATCATACATTTAAGGTCTATTATTCTTGTAAAAAGTATGAAGAATATCGTTGTGTTAAGTATGGAGATAATTGCAATTGGAGAGTGAGGGCTTGCAAAAAGGAAAGCAAGAACTATTAGCAAATTACAAAATATGGGGGGCCTCACGTATGCTTGAGCACGTCATTAATTCAAGACCATCCAAAGTTGGACACAAATGTTATATCATCCTGCATTGTGGCAATGGTAACTGACAAACCAGATGTGAAAGTGTCACAAATTATTGAGAGGATGCAATCAATGTTTGGTTATATTGTGTCATATAGGAAAGCATGGAAGGCAAAACAATTAGCAATTGTGATTGCCTTTGGAAATTGGGAGACCTCATATTCCTTGCTCCCAAGATGGTTAGCTGCAGTTCAACACTTCATGCCTGGGTCATGCATATATTTTTCAAACAAACAATGTTCTCAAGTCAATACAAATGATCAATCGATTGAAATGTTTCATCATGTTTTTTGGACATTCAAGCTATGCATAGATGTATTTTCGTATTTAAAGCCCATTATACAAGTTGATGGAACATTCTTATATGGAAAATATAAGGGCACATTGCTTATGGCAATATCACAAGATGGCGATCGAAATGTTGTGCCACTTGCATTT